ACAACAACAACAACAACAACATTAACAATAAACCAAAAACAAAAGAAGAGAAAACAAAACGTGAAAGAGTCCAACAGCACAGCAACAACAACACGGCAGCAACAACAACACGGCAGCAACAATAACACCACCTTCACCTCAAACAACTATGCTCGAGCAACAAAAGAATCGAATCAAGACTAAAACTACAAATTAACTGAAATATAACAGAACAATATGAGCCGAGATGAGCCGAAAGATAGAATGAATGTAGGCCTGCCCTCCCTCCCCAAAATCTCCTTTCACGCAGCTTACCGTCCACCGAATGCCGTTGGTTTGGAACCCACACCTTTTCCTTTATGGACAAAAATTCTGTCATTTCTGGAAATAACACTGTACACTGAATTCCTTCAAATGTCACCGCAATCGTTTACGCGTAGTTACTATATCGTTGTCAATGTCGTCGTCGTTATTTTCATTGTTGTTGTTGTTGTTGTTGTTATTGTTGTTGCTGCTGCTGTCGTGGTCTTTTTATCCACGTGTTATTTTGATTCATGTATCCGGCAACAACACAGTCCTGTGACCAAACGACTACTAAACGCTGTTCGTGTCAGTGCCAAAATAAAATGGCTCCTGCCCAATTGCTCGTAGGCGGTTTCCTTTACCCGAGGTCTTTTGCACTCTGATGGCGAGGAATAAATCCCAGGTTAGCAGACAATGGCGAGAATAAAAAAGCTCGATTGAAAGCCAAATCGGTCCGAATAAAGTCTCTGGCCAGGCACATCAATCGCTCGTACCGTCCAGCGCCCCGGCGTGACTTTTTTATACCCACTAAAGCTGCCCTAGACCCTCCTACCACAAAAGAACGTGTGTTCTGTATCTCAGCTGGTATAGGTAAAGCCACCGCATGTTTAGAAAAAAGAGGCGGCTGTACTATCGGCCGGTCCCTTTCCAGCACGATGTAGTGATAAAGCCCAGGGTGTTTGTAGAGCCAGGCGAGAGCCACTGGCTTTGACTCCCTGGCGGAAGCAGGTCCATGTTAATGTAGACATTGGCCACACAGCGGGGACCGTGGGGACCGGCAGCTACTGGCACTACTAGCATCAGAGAGGTTTGACCTGTCGTTATGTAAATCTTGGGAACAGGTCGTCCGTTCTTCAGTTATGTTTGCGGATTAGTTACGGGTTGCTGGGTGTTTTACATTCATTTTTATCCATTTATCCGTTTTAACAATTAATTTTATTCTTTTTTGGTCGATTCGTGTGCTATATTGGTCATTTCAATTAATGTATTTGTTTTTAAAATTTATTTATTTATTTGCGTACGTATGTTTCTTTTTAATGTTTTTTTA